CATTAGGTTAATACATTAAGCTCTCAAAACAACAAATTACATGTATGTAGATTTTATTTCAACTTAAACCAGTGATTTTTAACTTAAATTCTGCATATTGAAACTGTCCTTCACAGGCTACAGGCCATGCTGATGGAAAAAACAGATTCATCAATTAGAAACCGAATATGCATTAAAGAAAGCCAGGAAAATTAAAACTTTTGTGAAAAGAAGTTTTCCAAATAAAAAGTCAACATGGAACAGAGAGCTAGAAAGTAGGACACCACAGGAGAAAGTAATACCAGCTCTTCCTTGGGCCAGAGTTGTGCACCTACACATCATTTCAGTTGTTCAGGAAGCAACCGCTGAAGCAACTACCCCAAACTCTTTTAGTCACCCAAGTCTAATTAATTTGCTGAACATTTAATACACAAGAAAACAAATAGTTTGAAGGAAATCAAGAGCAATTCATTGCTCCCCCCATTCCCTTCATCTGCGCTCATAACTCTACCTATGAATCGATTTTGCAAAAGACCAACTGGTAAGCGAGCTCTTGGGAAGGGACACATTAAAGGAACAACCAGGAAGGAGGCCAAGAGAAAGCTTGGCTCCCAAGTTTCACCCAGTGATCCTTTCCACTGCACAACAATAAGAGGTTCCCACCCCATGAACTTTGGAAGTTTCCCAACTGCTGGAGACATTTACTCCACCAGCAGCAGCACTGCCTACGCCAAGAGCTACTCTGTTGCATTCTCCCTGGCACACAATTGCTTTTCCTTTCTATAAAGCAGCCAGGCAAATTACACATCAAATGATAATTCACCTTTGAACTACTTAAGGAGTCAAGTCACAATACAGTGCAAAGAGCAAATGTCACATGAACGAAGGCGGATGAACTGGCACAGGCTGTTCCCTACTCAACTGCTGAGGTACCACCAACTACAGGCTCAGCAGCTGCCTGTGCCAAAGCAATCCTACAGCGTGAGTACAATCAAACTGCAGCCCCCAATAATGCCTTGTCAGCTAGAAGAGCTGAGATCTGAAGTTTGTTCCATTAAAAACAATTGTCTCAAAAAACAAAAACAAGAAAAAAAACAACCAAACCAAACCAAAACTTTGACAGGCACACAAGAAGTAAATTGCCATCTTGGAAGTGCTCACACAACCCACCAGCTTCATTCCTTGTATTTAGCAATGAAATCACGGGAAAGCACACAGACATTTATAATGCTTAAAAAAAGAGGTTACAAGTACATACAGCAGCCTCTTTTACAGAGGTGAGAACTCAACACCAATACTTCTCCCCATTCATCCAGCACTGAACTTTATGTGAAGTCCACTTTGAAATCACTCAGTCCATCTTTAACCTCTGAAGAAGCAGCCTGACAAGGAAACTAGCTTTTTTCACTAAAGCAACATATTACATTCGGTTTATATCACCTATTTTTGATGATTTCCACAGAGAGAAAGAGACAAGTAACCAATTAAAAGTGGCAAGTGTAATATTTTTCACCAAAAAAAATTATAAATCAAGTGATAAATGGCTTCTGAGAGATACAAGGCAGTATCCAGGATAAGTAATCTAATTTAGGGAATTTGGACATGTGAGCTCTTTGGATTATTCCATGCCAATGAGTTTCTGAACCAGCTGAAAGAGTATCTCACTTTCCACTACATTTCCCAAATGCTATATGCAAACACTGATCACAACAACGTTGACAGACACATACATGCTTGCAAAGTGATTCCATAAAAAACCTTTATAGCTGACGAAGAATAATTTTAAACCAGGTTACAAAAAAACACACTGGAAAGCTATTAAACTTGGGTAAAATGGAACCAAGAGAGTTGAGGTTTTTCAGGTTAAGCTCTTTCCAATATTCAACATATACTCCTGCCAAAATTCCACCACACAAGTTGAATAGCTAAAACATTACAGAAAGAAAAAAGAAATTTATGCGAAATACACACTCTGCAACATACTTATACACACTACCTAAAAAAACCCACTGAACTAAGGCAAGTGTCCATTTTCTCTCAGTTAAAAACTACTACATCTAAATTACCACTATTAAAACACCTCCACTTCTCACACAGTTGCAACAATTCTCCTCTAAGTACTGAGCACAAACAGAAGGAGAGATTTCTTACTTCCAATAGGAAGACTTTTGGTATCAGTGGGACAAGAAGAAACAGAAACAAAGCTTGCTAAGGACATAAACTGGATAGTTTCTCAAGGATTCAAAGGAAGGAAGAAGTCTCTTGTGAATATGCACATATTTTGCAGAGGGGAAAGGGAATTGTGGAATCATAGAATGGGTTGGGTTGGAAGGTACCTTAAAAACCATCTTGTTCCAACCCCCCTGCCATAGCAGGGACACCTTCCACTAAACCATGTTGCTCCAAGCCCCATCCAATACAGCCTTGAACAATTCCAGGCGTGGGGCATTCACAGCTTCTCTGGGCAACCTGTGCCAGCACCAAGAGCCAAAGGTACAAGAGCCTCTTGGAGAGCACAGTCTCTGATGTGATGGCTCAGGCATTAGACAAGCACTGAGGCAAGTGCCTCCTATTCTATCCTAAAAATGCAAGGCCCAGAATATACACAACAAAATGCACAGTCCATGCTCTGATCCAGGGCATAGTGTTTTGAAGACCTCAGGATTTTACTACAACGAGTATCTGGTTACTGTTTCTAGAGAGTGTAACAACCTCATTTACACTTCCTTAGTCTTAACCATGTTTTGCTAAATACACAGGAAGCAGAAAGGGCAGCACGTTGTCAACTGCTTTTTACAACGAGACAGAAATGCCCATAAGGAGCATATGAACCCGTCACAAAAACTGTGAGAAAAAGAACACCAAAAATATCCACTTGTCATCAACAGAAAAACACAAGGAAAAAGAACAAAACAGGATGGGGTAGTTTTGCAATGCAAGACACACAGAAGCCTATGCCTGAGCATGTACCAGAGCCTGGAAACGAATTCAACAGGGCACATTTCTAACTATGATTAGAATCACTTCTACAAGGGCATGAGATGCAAAGAGAAAAAAGTGAACAGATAAGATAGAGACGTGAAGGGATTGTATATGAAAGGCTGGAAAAACGACAAATGCAGACAGAAAACTTGGGAAGAATGAATGAAGAGAGAAGTTAATGAGATCGATGTGCAAGTCGATCGATGCTACCTATTGGTGTCCTCGGCTATTTCTTCTCCACTCTAACTTATGTTGATAATGACAACTGGTTTCATTTTCTCTCCTGTATATTTACGTTTAGGTGCTTTCAAAGGCACAAAGAGAGAAACATAACACATAGAAAAAAGAGGAAAAAACCAGTTTTATAATATGTGATTTCAACTGAACATCTGAAAACTGTAAAGAGCATGCACTGACAGTTGAAATCAGTGATTAGGGCCAGAAAAAAACCTGGTGGCTTTTCAAATTCATTTTATATCTGTCTGTAGTATATACAAGTTTTTAATAGCAACAAGTAGCTCGCACTGCCTATGCAAGCACAGAATGTAATTCTTTATTTTCACTGACAGTTTAAAAGCAGACTGCAAAGTACCAAAGTTAAAAGTTTGGCAGAAAGCTGTTTCAAGGCAATATAACACCAAGGATATTTCTGGATATATAAAATCTCAGGTTTCCAGAAGAGAGTTAAAAGCAGTTTCTGCTGATGTACCAAAGCCTATATAAAGTTAGCAGCTTTATATACAAAAGACATATTGTTTAAAAATTATTTTCCCTTTCCTGAGTAAATATCCACTTACAGAGTGGGGGGGAAAAACCATGCAGTAGACAAACACTGGAAATCCTTCACAAACATTTACATTTGTCCTCACATCCCAGAAGGCCCAGAGAGAGAAAAGCCAGGTAAAACTTTCAGAAGTAAGAGTGAGTACTACCTGTCCCTCTAAAGAGGGATATTTATTACCAGAAATAAAGGTTTTAGTAAAAACAGAAAAAGGAACAAAGCCTTTTTTCAACAGTTAAAACAAAATGCCTTGGCAGCCATACAAATGGCTCAGCTCACAACCACTGTGGTAAAAATTCCTGTAACCATATGGGATATCTATCAAAATAATGCATTCTGCAGAACTGATAAGAATAAGGAATGACCCAGCTTGACTGTCACAGATTGTTCGTCTTGGCAGGAGGCTCGAAACAATCCTTTTTGTTTAAACACTATTTTTATAACTCTTAACACCATTTCAGAAAACAAGTTAAGAATATATCCACAAAGCAAAGCTACATTTTAAAACAGACTGGTTTTATATCCTGCAGTTAAAAAAAAAAAACAAACCAACCAACCAAACAAAAAAAACAGGAACTCAGCGATATCGCTTGTGTTGCCTCCTTTGTTTTGCTGTTTTCCATTCTTTACGTTCTTGCTCACCTACTTGTGCTCTCAAGAGGCTCAAAGTGATGCAAATTCCCCCGGACTCCCGGGAATTTCAGCAGGCGACATCATCAGGTGAAACCCAGGCTTAGTCAACTCCACTTCCTGACCACGTCTAAGATGGAGCGCGCAGCCCCGATGAATCAACCAGGAGCTGTTTTACACATTATTCACTCGTCCCTACAACCTCCCTAAAGTTCTCCGCAGCCCCGAAGGGAGAAAAACCCCCTCCACTTCCCTTCCTTCTTTTACTTCCCTACGAGACGCGAACTTCCCAAAACAAACTGCGCTTGGGGATAACGAGGGCACAGGCGGAACACAGCGCGCTGCCTGGCTGGGCTCTCCGCGGCTGGAAGCGCTCATCCCAGGGCCTGCGGGAGCCCAAGGCAGGGATCCTGGATCGCTGGAGCAGTGGATCGCTGGAGCAGTGGATCCCATCCCTGCGAGCACCGCCCGCCCCAGCGCCGGGCAGGGCCGCTCCCGCCCTGCCCTCCCCGCAGCACCGCCAGGCCGCTGCCCGGGGCAGGGGCACCCGGGCGCACAACAAAGGCTTTTCCATCCCCTCTCCCAGCCCCACACACACACAGACCCGCACGGGTCCCCCGGCACGTACCGGATCGCGGCGCTGGCGGGGTCGCGGCGGGGCTCATTCCGCCGGGGCGCGCAGGGTGTGACGGTCACCGGCGCCCCGCGGGGGGCGAAGGCGGCGAGCCCGAGCGGCGGCGGAGCCGCATCGCTGCCCTGCCCGCTCCCCGCCGCTCCCGCTGGCCCCGTCCCGTCCCTGCCCCGCGCTCGGCACCTCCCGGCTCCCGCACGGCCCCGCTCCCGCTCCCGCCGCACTTCCGGGAGGGAGCGGTCACGCGGCGCCGCTTCCATCCGGGAACGCGCGCGGGGCGGGGCGGGATGAGCCGGGCGGGGCCGGGCGGGGTGTCGGGTGGGCGCTCCCGGGATGGGACCGCGGCGGGGCGTGTGGTGCGATTGACCTCCCCGCTCAAGAGCGTGGCACAGGATTGAGTCCAGACGGTTCTGGAATATCTCCAGTGAGGGAGACTCCGCACTCTCTCTGGGCAGTCTGTTCCAGTGCACGGTCACTCGCACGTTCACTCCACCCCATGTCCAGGTGGAATTCCCGTGTGTCAGTTTCCGCCTCTTGTCCATCGAGAGGGATGGAGCACCTCTCTGAGGTGCTGAGGGAAAGAGGTTGTTCAGCCTGGAAAAGAGAAGGCTTTGGGGTAGGTGACCTAGCTGTGGCCTTCCAGTACTTGAAGGGAACTTCAGGAAAGGTTGAGAGAAAGGGATTGTTCAACCCAGAAAAGAGAAGGCCTTGGGGGTGACCTAATTGCGGTGTTCCAGTACCTGAAGGGAACTTAGAGGAAAGACTGAGAGAAAGGGATAGCCTGGAAAAGAGAAAGCTTCAGGATGAACTTATTGTGGCCTTCCAGTACCTGAAGGGAACCCTTCCAGTACCCATTGAGGAGAAGCTGAGAGAAAAGGATTGTTCAGCCTGGAAAAGAGAAGACTTTGGAGTGACCTAGTTGTGGCCTTCCAGCACCTGAAGGGAACTTACAGGAAAGATGGGGCAAGACTATTTATAAGAGCATGGAGTGAGAGGACAAGGGGGAATGGTTTAAACTGAAAGAGAGTAGGTTTAGATCAAATATTAGAAAAAAATACTGTGAGGGTGGTGAGGCTCTGGCACAGTTGCCCAAAGAAGATGTGGCTGCCCCATCCCTGGAAGTGTTCAAGGCCAGGTTGGATTGGGGCTCTCAGCAACCTGATCTGGTGGAACGTGTCCCTGCCCATGGCAGGAGGGTTGGAATGAGATTATTTTCAAGGTCCCCTTCCAACCCACACCATTCTATGGCTCTGTTGCTTGGCATCACCAAGAAGAGCCTGGCTCCATCTTCTTGGCACCCCCCCCTTTAAATATTTATACATGTTAATGAGGTCCCCTCTCAGTCATCTCTTCTTGAGGCTGAACAGACCCAGCTCCCTCAGCCTTTCCTCATAAGGGAGATGCTCCAGTCCTCTAATCATCCTCATTGCCCTCTTCTGTACCTCCCCTCAGAGTGGTCAGGGGGGCTCCCCTGAAGCAGCTGCCTGGTCATTCCCCCAGTTGCCAGAAAGGTTCACAATGTGGGGCAGATTTGGGGCTTCCGAGGACTTTTTAGTTAGTTAATTATAATTTTGGTTTTCAGATGATGTCATCCTAAAATTGACACTTGTGAGCTCCGTCTGCTCCCTGGTATTGGGCTTAACAAGAACTAGCCTTTGGTGGCTGCTCCCTGACTTACAGGGCTAATGTTGGGTTCTCAGCCCCTCACCTGGTGCACAGATCTACTGACTGGCACAGCCATGGGCTTCAAGCTCTTCACACCACAGCCCCTGACCAGGGTTCTTCTGCTCTGACCACACGTGTTCACTACCCAGCAGTTCTGAGAGCTGTCGGTCAGCTTGGTTTCCTTTAGACACAGGTGAATTTCTCTACATCATTGACATATCTTCCTAATTGCTTCTAAAAATAAATGGTGTGATAATTGGTAAATTGCATATACAGTACTGCAAACTTCCCTGTGGGGGGTTGGAAATAAAGCTTAAGCAGTATGCTTTACTTTGTTTTTCAGACAAATGGGACTTTAAAGAAAACATCCTCTATGGAGACAATTAAGACTCAGTGACACCTTAATTGCTTCTCTTGAGAACGAGCACTAAGAGTACATACACACAGCATTGTGCTGTGTAAGGATACCCAGACCAGCAAGGTCTCAAGATCAATACAACTGCATTAGTGAGGCACAGAGCCCTGGATAATTCATCCTGCAGAGAAAAACTGCACTGACAGGGCCATAGTGCTTTTGGTAGTACTAGTTCTCAGAACTATTTCAGGAACCTGTCTAGCATTGCACTGTATTTTCAGATGTCTCAGCATTTTTTGTTCGCTTGGAGCCTTTTTCGTACCAGGAAATAGTTTTACAGCCATGACCAGAACTTACTCCATTTAGAAAGCCAGATGAGTGCCAGGAGAACCAGGCTGTTACCTTTCATAGGGCCCATTACTTAGAGGAAAACACAATATACATTTGTAGACACAGATAGACACAGGTAGAACACAGCCTGTAGGAATTTTTGGTCTTATCAGTGCTTGGAGACACTGTTGCAACTGGGAAGTGAAAGATGTCCACTCTTTCACAGGGCAGAATTCAGTCACTGCTACTGGAAATTAGGAGTGGATTCCTACTTGAGGCTGAGAAGTCTGCCATGGAAATCTTAGGATTTAATTAGACTAACTTAGCACATAGGAAGAACAGTAAGCCAACTGAATCTTTGTATGTAATAACCATCATTTCCCTTAAATCCTGCTGTAGAGATTGTCTGCAAAGATGGATCGTTAACAGAAGTTATGGAAAACTGCATATTTGTCAGCAGACAAAAGGTGAAATTGCAGCTCATGCACCCATTGGGCTGAAAAGTCCTTTTGCTCACCCCCACCTATACAATATTCTGGTGTGGGTGGGCACATGCCACAGAACAGTGTGTAAATGCTTGCCAGTCAAAGCAACGACCACCTTCCAGATCTGGAGTCTCCAGTTAGTTTTAACCAAAGTTTAACTTATTTTCCTGTGCTTTTCATCCAATGCTCAGTCCTATTCCTTGCTATTCCCCCTTAGATTCCCATTTTTGTCCCCTCTTAGTGCTGAATTAAAGTACACCATATAGTACTGGCCTCTTGTGTAATGTTAAGGCAAAATGGTGTAGTGTCAGGATGCATTGGTGTTATTTGCATTATGGCAGCACTTAGTGGGTCAACTGAGATAAGTGACCTTTCGTGCCAGACATTTCACAAAACACAGTTTGTAATCTAATAAGTCAGGACAGAAAATGGTAGCGAAAAACAAGGCAGGGTGAAATGATTAAGCACACTTCCAGAACACAGATTCTGTTAGAGATGAGGAGGAGGACAAAACTTTCCTGGGTCCAGAGTGAGTGCCTTAAATCATGCTTCCTCAGACCAGACAGGAGGTCCCATAGGAATATGCTCTTACAATACACACCGCTTTCTGGCAGAAACTTGGTGGTATTTATACTGTTCAAAGCTTTTCATAGAAAGAGCCTATGTTAGTTTATTGTCCTAAATAAAGCCTAATACTAAATATATTTAGTTTTCAAGTTATAGCAAGGGAAACTATATTTCCAAAGAAACCTTGGCACAGCACAATGGCTGTTGTAGTTGTTGGTTTTAATTGTACACACAGCCAGTAGTCCTGACTCCTCTATTTAGACTGTTTATCACTTGTCATTATGAAAAAGATCTCATTGCACACATATGTGTAGGGGGAAGGGTTGTTTAATGTGTGAGACCTGTAAACATGTCATGATTGCAGCAAGGAACGTGAACTTGGAAGCAGTAGCAGCTGTCAAGTATTAAAGTCAAAAGAAGAAATCCGCTGTTGTAGAAGTTCTTTCCTCCCAGCTTCCACTGGGACAGAGCAATGTTTCCACTGTACTGTGGTGGTACCATCCTTCATTATGAAGTCCTTATATTTAGAATAGAATAGAATAAACGTTTCAGTTGGAAAGGTACCTACAGTGTCTATCTAGTCCAACTGATGATATTCCTTTATTACAATCAATCTGGATCCCTTCTTAAAGGCTGTTTCAAACATGTTACCTAACAGTTCTTAGGGGTTTCTTTATAGAATAATTTTGCTTAAGAGTGCTCCTAAAAAGGTTAAGTAAGCATGTTAACATAGAGTTATACAAGGATTAGTATTTGGAGATTTTAAGTGCTCTAGTCTGGGCAGCCAACACAGTGATCCCAGCGTGATCAAGTTTCGGATTGTTGAGACTTTCACCTTAGATAAACCCTTCAAAATACAAATTCTGTCTGCTGTCATATTAAACATCATATTTCCTATGCTTCTATTTGAAATAGAGAATGTATTCTAGGTTATTGATGAGATTTCTTCATCCTTGTTTTGTGATATGAGGTGAACTGAATTAAGCTGCTGCACATGATGATATTAACCCTCAGAGCATGTAAAATAGATTGTTTTCAGTATTAATCCCACAGATTTAAGGGAGGTAGTTGCATATGTAAATATGAAATGAAGTTATGAGTAGAAGCTATTCTCTACCCAATAAGTAGTCACATTTCAATTAAATTATATATTCTAATTAAAGATTCATTATAAGCCTCTTTGTGATCTTTTTGTTGAAAGGAGGCATTATACACACACATGTAAGCACATTCCTGCAGGATGTTTTCAAGAATCACAACAGGATTATATCAATAAAATTAAATTTTTGAAAGAAATTAAAGACAAGAATATTAATTTCATCAATTTTCCTAATCAGTGTGATTATTTTTATTGACATATTCTAGAAAAAACGGTGGCAAATAACTCAAGAGTATTAGTGTCACATGCTTTCTGTTTCCTTTTCCTGTCTGTTGTCCAAATGAGAGCACCTTCTGGAGGAATAATGATAAATCCATAGCATCTTATTTTATTTTACCCTATTTACTTTTAACAGAGCCAGCAGACAACATTGTGAATGTACTGCCAAGATGTATGGGTGACTTTGCATTAAGTAAATGCAGAGGCAGATCTAACTGATATGAGTCACAATTTCATGGGCAGTTTTAAAAGAGTATAAAATTTCAGCAGGGAAGTTTTTAGTCATCTTATAGTATAGTGGCTTCAGAATTTGAGTTGCTTTTTGGAATTTAAAGTTCCAGGGTATTAGGGCATACCCAATTTAGATTGAATTTTCCCCTTAACTTCTTTCTGTATTTTCTT